TGTGAGTGAGTGTCTCTGTATGTGTGTGTGTGTGTGTGACTGTCTGTGTGTGTGTGTGTGTGTCTCTATGTGTGTGTGTAACTCTTATCCTGTGTCCTGCATCAGTGTGCTGGTTTCACTGCCGCTCTGTATATTTCTACCAGACTAAATAGTTAAACGGCCCCTAAAACTCACTGATTAGTGATCAGGATTATGTCCTCTCTGTGTAAAGTCTGCTAAGACTGACGCAAAACAAACCACCGTTATAGTCGAAGAAGCCTTTCACGACTTCCTCATTTCTATTATTTCCCATCCAACTGAAATAAAATGGTTTTGTTTATAAATATGTGTGGATTTAAATTTTTTTTGGTTGAGTCATCAGCTGTTTCATGAGACCTTATACCGCTGGAGGACGTCAGTCTCTGTGTGGACCCTGCAGTCCGCTGATGGGTTTTAGATCATGGTTTTCTAAAGGGTTTTACACCATCATGTTTTCTTCTTTTGGAGTGTTCATATTGTGATATCAGTGTATCATATTGATGATTAATGTGAGCTGCCTGCTCTCCTGTCCTGTGTTTATTCCAACATTTACATTTCTGCTTTTGGTAGATGTTTTCGTCTAAAGCCACCTGCAGTGTATTCAAGGACTGCATCTTCTAAGTTCTTGCATTCACTGGGAATTAAACCTTGTGACATTGGAGCTACCAGTGCCATGATGCTTCTGATGGCAAACGCACTAGTGATCCAGACAAACTCCTGCAGAGGAAACGTTTCTGGACAGACTCGCCTTTACTGCTCTAATAATTATTTAACAGCAGAAAACCCATCACTGTAAGTCAATGTAATCACAGATAAATCTTTAGTTGCCCATCTCCTAAACACAACATCAAGAAGCCTTGGTTTAAAATGATGATCAAACACCACCTATCTCAACAATATAATCTGATTTTGTAGGCTATGCTGCTGAACTAATTTAAACCACACCTCAAGGGCCCAGGATTTTTCTTTGTCACCTAAAAGACTGTAGGCAAACCCTGGTTTGCATGTTCTATATTTTTTCCATTTAGATGTGTAAGGGTTACACCAGCAAATACAAGACCAAATTTGTGCTGCGTAAAAATATTCCAGTAGGCTTGGCAAGGCTAGTCCTCCTTTGTCCTTTGCTAGCTGCAATGTTGTATATTTTATTCAAGGATTTTTCCCTTCCCAGACAAATCTTGAAATTGTCCTGTCCCAAGCCCTGACCTGAATCTAGGAATCATTACTGGCAAAGCTGGGAAAAGATACAGTAATCTCGGGACAATATTCATTTCCACAACCTCTATTCTTGAACTAAATTCCATAGAGCTGATCTCTCAACATCTCTTTGGATGTTTTTATTAATGATATTTTTCTCGATAGAGTTCTGAATATTCTTTGGTCAAAATTACCCCCAATATACTTGGGGGCATCCCGTTTTAGATTATATGTTTGCCTGATAACTGTGGTGGGGAGAAATGAAATGTTAGAGCCTGAGGCGCAGAGCGAGAAACAGAGGACAAGGTGTGTGTTTATCGATAGATTGTTATAATATCTGCATCTGTGCAGTTCTTTGTCATAAAGACAGTTTACAAAATATCATGGGGGAGCAATCGGTTTTCCATCTGTAAAGTTTTCTCTGCGTTCACCCCTCATCACACCACAGCTGTTT